GATCAGCATACGCACGTCTCACTCGGTCAGATGCCTTCTAAAGAACTGCATTGACCGATGCATGCAAGTAGCTTGAGTCCTACTTGGGAACCCCAAACCCCACCCCTAAACCCTTTTTAGGAACCGAAAACCCTTAAAGCCTTAACCTAATTAGGAAACCCTTGTGATGCTACGTTGACCAAACCCCAGACCTAAACCCTTTTTAGGAACCCAAAGTAAAGCTTTAACCTAATTAGGAACCCCTTGTGATGCTACTACCCAAAACCCTTAAAGCCTTAACCTAACTAGGAATCCCTTTGTAGGAACCCCAAACCCTTAAAGCCTTAACCTAATTAGGAATCCCTTGTGATGCTACTGGACTCACGTCCAGCCAGACTGTGACCGCGACCTGCAAATCATCTTGACCGAGGCCGACCATGCAGCACCGATACCAAAGCCGCTCTACTAAGCCAGGACCCCCCAATGGCCCTTTAATGGAGCCCTTATGGTCCCTAATAGTAGGTATTTGGGGCATAATAGAGGGTAGTTGGGGGGTCTAGGAGAATCCCTAAACCCTAGACGCTAATTGCGAACCTTAAACCCGAAACCCCAATTAGGAAACCTAAACCCTATAAACCCTATTCAGCCTAAGAACCCCTAAGCCCTAATTGCGAACCCTATAAGCCCTATATGTTAGGAACCCTACTTGAGATCCTGCCTTGGGGAGGCGCCAGTGTGCTGACTTCGGGCGCAGCCTAAACGATGGTAGAGGCTTCAGGGTTTGGGGCTTCGGGTTCAGGTTTAGGGTTTAGGGTTTAGGGTTTAGGGTTTAGGGTTCAGGGTTTAGGGTTTAGGGTTTAGGGTTTAGGGTTTAGGGTTAAGCAATGGAGAGCCAGCAGGGCCACGAAACCCGTCATGGTGTGTGAACATCTGAGGCAGCATGCGTGGCGTGGATGGTGGGCACAGCTGCGGCTGCCAGCGATTTAGAAGCCGCATCTCATCATGGCCCTAAACCCTAAACCCTAAAACCTCCCTGCGGAGGGGTTACTGAGCCCTGAAATTTTGTGGGCAGTTCGGTTTGCTCCGCATATGCCGATGTTTCGACGCATCAATGCCTCATTTCGGAGAGAGAAAATGGTAATTCTTTGGACATGCTGGAAAACGCAAAGCTTCTGCACTTTTCGTCGGCGTCGCGGATTATAGACCCTAAGATGTCTGTTACACGGGAGGTCGTAGATTGAAAGGTACCACGTCTGTCACACGAAACAGGTTTAACATAGCTTCGAGAATCTACTGAAACGGGGGAAGGGTGTAAACGAAGGTTAAGCCCTGAAAAGCCAGCAGAGTACAGTTTATGAGCCGCAATATACAACCACAGGCACGTATATATATATATATATATGTACATGTGTGTGCGTGTGTGTACGTGTGCGCATGGTTGTATACAGAGCGCACATACCTACATGCACATATGTATGTATGCATGTGTGTAGGTATATGTGAACGAGCGCATTCGTATGTAGGTAGGCAGGTGCGTAGGCATGTGAATGTACATGCACATGTAACAGTATACATGTATAAATCTAAGTATATATGTGTATGCATAGGTACACAGAATGAGTATGTAGGTAAATGCACTTATACACATACATACATACATACATACATACATGCATGCATGCATGCATGCATGCATGCATGCATGCATGCATGCATGCATAAAGCAAATGCAAATACAGGCTTACATACGTACATACATGCATACATGAAAAAAAATACATGCATACATACATACATACATACATACATACATACATACATACATACATACGTACATACATGCGTACGTA